GCAACTTCCAGTTGAGGAGGCTGGCACCAGAGGTGCGAATCCTGAGGAAAGAATGGAGGAAAGGGTCCCAATGGATACAGGGGAAACCACAGATACAAATGATTCTGTCAGGAGATCTGAGAGAAACCGTCGTCCGCCACGACAGCTTGATTATACAGAGTTAGGCAATCCCCTGATCACAGCAGCAAAATCATTCGTGCAAGGACTGTCTTTAGCTTGGGCAGAGGTCATCAGTGATGGTGAAGAGCCTGTTCCCACCCCCTTCCTTGACCCCCTGAATAATCATCATTTAACTGTTTACCATGCACAGGGATGTGCATGAGTTCAGGAGGGGAGGGTGTAGCCCAGATGAAAAAAACACATTTACACCAATGATAAAGGAAGAGGAGGTGTTATTTCCTTTATCTTAACTGTTCACATCAACAAAGCATCATAAGTCCTATGACAATTAAATGCACCTCTCAGTTCACCCCACGTGGGGGTACCTAGCACTCGGCGACCAATCAGAGCCTATGCAGGCCGCATTCACCTTGTCAGCCAGGAAGTGAGGTGAAGGTGCGTGGTCCTCCCCGGTTTTTCTCATCTCAGGAACAGGAGTGGAGGCATCTGCTACTTAAACTGAGAAACGCAGGGACGAAAGAGAGCAATAATCCAGAATTGAGAGGAAGGAAAGCAAGAATACTTACCTGCTGGAAGTCCACAGTTGAGTGGCTGGATGAAGGAGAGAAGCAACGTTGGTAAGACAAGTGTTATTCCTTTTCATACGCACATGGCGGAAAAAGTATGGCAGCAAATGGAGAATGAGAAGGGCAAAAGCGGATCGTTGAATGAAACGGATGAACCAGAATTGGTTTGTAAAAATGCTGCAACTTAAGTGGTGTGGAACTGGTTTAGCTTTCGTCCGTCAGATACACAACAAAGCACTACTTTTGGTAGAGCATGTTAGCGGGCCGTCGTTATTACCGTGTTGTTTGGAAAATACGGCACACTTAAAATCAATCCTTTGATTTTTCTGAAAATCGACAGTGCCCCTTATAATCCCGTGTGCCTTATGTATGAATTCTGGTTGTGTTTACTGACCTCGAAACGATTTTATGTACACGGCGCTCGAAAATCTGTCAAATGTTTTAGTACGACTGTGCTAAGCTACAAACCCACACCGCTTGATGGATTGTCGGAGCATTACTGCTATCGTAGGCAGGAGCCTCGCGGAGTGAAACGTACTGTGTTTCAACATAATATTACCGTATTGTGTGTATAACCTCTTTTTAAGTTTTGTGGATATTATACATGGTTATGCTGAGGATATGTCGGCCAATTTCCACTGGAAATACCTTTTGGTTAAACTGTCAGCAAGGAATTTGCATTTGCACTGTTAAATTTTTATATAACTTTAATGGACATAAAAAACAGCTGCTTGTTTAAGTGAAAATACATTGATGGGTTTTGGTTTTTTTTTTTGCACTAATAAAGTTGTAAAGTATTTTGTCAAGTGTCAATTATATCGTTATCGCAAATTTTCAAATGTATATCGTGATAAATATTTTTGGTCATATCGCCCTGCGCTAATGGCGAGCCAACCATTTTGAGGACAATTCACCCTGAAGAAGATACACACCCACGCACTCGTACTTATATTCCAATTACACTCAAAAGGACCTTTGAAGTTGGCTGTTGTCAACATAACTTGAATTCTTAAAGGGCCCCAACAAGTACTTTTATTTTGTTTAAGTGTGCACACTATTTATTTTATTTTATACTCTTTTTCTTTCCCCTGTACAAATTGGACACTGTTTTTTACACTTTGTAACAATACAACAGTCTCTACTCAAAAGTTAATTCCGTGTCCGAGTCATTATTGCTGCTCAATACTTTGTCCCCTCATGAATTTGGTGTCTTCTGATTCTGGCCAGGGTTTTATTACGAGCCCAAGTAGTTATTGCGCTGTAATTCACCTTTACATCTCTAAAGTTGGTTACACTAGGATTTACTGGTTAAACTTGGGAATAATTCATACTCGGGTTCCCAGTACTACTGCTTTGAAGCAGATGGGGCAAAGGTTGTCAAAAAGCAAAGAACAGTCACACTCACATACACACACAAAACGCTGGGTGAAAAATAACCCAATTTGTAACAGGGCTGGGTTATTGGTTTGACCCAGCACACTGTGGTAGGATATTTATCCAAAAATGGGTTAAACTGACCAAAAATTGGGTTGAAACTCATAACGCTCCACGAGGGTTATATTACCATTAACATTTGGGTTAATCTTCGATTTACTAGGTGCTGGTTTAGCTCAGTTAGATGAGCAGTTAACCATATGCTGCATGGCTGAAAGCAGTTCGGCCTGGGTTCAAGTCTGACCTGTTCCCCTTTGCCGCATATCTCCCCCTTTTACTTTTCTGTCAGTCTTCACTGTATCTGTCTAATAAGGCTAAGAAAAAAAATTCAGCATACAAAAACTAGATTCAAAGCAGATTGTTCTTTCATTACCCCAGCGCGCATGACTTTGAAATTGTTAGAATTCACTTTTTACTTACCATGTTTTATTTCATAGTAGAGGAGAAGTCCAGTGATATCTGATCAGGTCACAGTGTAGTTGAAAATGGCAGTTTGTGAAGAATGATGTTGCTTCTTCTGAGGATTGTCTTCAATGCAAACAATTGGGTAAAATTTTGACCCAATACTTGATCAAAGCTACCCATCAAACCGGGGAGTTAATTAAAGAACCCAGCATATTGCCAACCCAACTCCTGAGTCATGACTTTTGAACCAATATTTTGTCAAACTAATCCAACTTACCCATGACTTTTCCCCAAAAGTTGAGCTATGAAAATAACTCAGCATTTTTTAGTGTGTGTATATACACACATACAAAGATCTCAAGATTTTAGAGAAATTTCTGTTTCACGTACAATAAAAAATATCAATAACTTACAAGTGTGTATTTATCATTTTCTTTTAATCATGGGTGGAATGTTTAATCTTTTACTAACTAAAATGAGAAAAAAAGCAATTAAAAAATAATAAATATGAGCTGCATGAGTTAATATAAAGTGCTTGTTTAAGGATTCTTTTTACATATACTTTGAAATAGTTTTTTTAAACTAAATATAAGTATTTTAAAGGACCATAATTTGACATAACCTTTACAAGAGACTTAGTAGCACAGAAGTGGCTCAGTAAAATTGCATTTTACTCAAATAATTTGCTTTATTTATATTCTAAGTCAAAAACTGAATAATAAAAGTATTTGATTTAATATACAAACAAAAGGCGTGTTTACATGTTTTGCTTTTATTATGGATAAATAAAATCCAAATGACCATAAAATATCAATAAGACCTCATATGGAAAAACGCTGTCCGATGCTAACATCTTGTGGAGGGATTATATATTGCACTCTTAGTTCCTCTTTCCGAGTTCCCACTTGGGATTTCAAACTGGAATACCCCTTTACAGCCTACCTAACAATCTAAGATATAAGACTGGGCTTGCAAATATAAGTAAAACTTGCAATGGATACTGTCACTAGTGTGTGGGTGTGGCTTGCTAAATAACAATAGAATTAAAAAAGAAAGGTAGAGGAAAAAATACCTATTCCGAGTAATCCATGAATGGCTCTACACTGTTGCTGTAAGCAGCAAAACCCTGTTTTCTTTGCTCAACTCGGAAGTGACATCACTTCTAGCTCAGACTTCAGAGGTGACCTCACACTTGTTTCTATGGCTACAGCAAAGTGATAAAAACTATGTACCATTGTTTGGACAGTTACTGTAACAGCTGGGTTACAAACAGCCTTAGCAGAATGTGCAAAGAATATAAAAAAGTCAGAAGCATGGCAGTTTTTATAAATACTGTGCTCTAATGGTTTTGCATTTATTTATGGCCATTCATTTCATTATAACCTGTTAATTGTTTCCCCATCTCTGGCATGATCTTTTATTGAACCATTTAAAACTATTGTTTTTGATTAAAAGTAGCCAGTGAGTGAATTAAGGATGATCCAACCCAGTCACCTTGAAATGGCATATTTATCTGCACTTGCTGATTTGTTTAAGTGTGCATAGACTGTATATGTAAGATGGACGTGGCCACAGTGATATCACCTGATGGTTTTTGAACTTCACATTTTGAAGCCTCAAACTCATTCTGGCCACCTTCATGGTATTTTTTTGGAGCCAGAAGTGACTATATTTGGCAGTAGCGGCACTGGGTCTGTTGCAGTTGTAACTTTAGGCCTTAAAAACTAAACTAAAAGAAAGAACGGAAGAAAGAAAGTATGTTATAAAACCAATTTATAATTTGTAAATTAGTTTTAAATGAGGGAACTATTCACTGACACTAAAACAATTTTTTTTCTATCTGCATTTAAAGCTTTTAATTAGTTAATTTAGCTTTAACATTTTACTATAAGACTTCTGGAGCCAGCCTAAGGTAGCCACAAGAGAAACTGAAGCTTTTGAAAACTGTTATGAGGCTACTGACAGCTTCCTGCTGAGCATATTTTCCTACTGGGTGGATCACAGTAAAATAGATATAAAACATACACAACCACAGACAGCTTTTACATACTATATGGAAAACTGAACATTTGGTCCAGCTGGGCTGGACAACACAAAGTAAATATGATCTATAGAGCCACATTACTTGCATTAATGGGAAACACATCAGACTTAAAATAATAATAGGATAATTATAGGATAATTATTTGTTAAAATCTACAAGTCTTTTTATGGTGAATAAATTGAAAGTAATCCTTGTCTTTCTTGAGTCCCTGTTACAAGCCTTCACATTCAAGCATTCATATTACAAAAAATAAGGTACATGCAAAGAATCTGGTTCTCACAGAGGTGTGTACACACTCTCCCCCCACACACATTCATACAGACAAAGAACAGTTCCTCCAGCACAATTACAATGTGTGCCGTCATTCAGCCTTCTTGATGGTTGTCATGGAGATGTCATTGATAAGGTGGAGAAAATGCAGTTTCCTTTCTGCACATAAGTTTAAAAAAACAAAAAACGTCCTTTGTGGCTAATTTCATAATTAATAAGCCTTTGCTGAATCAGACCCCCTTTGATGAAAGAACATGTTGTTGCTATAGTGCTTCACCTTGTGCGTTCATCTTTGTCAACCTTCCTTGTTTTCTCTCTCTCTGCAACTGCTGCTCCTGCTGTAGCGATGGATTAACCATTTCTTAGACCTCCCTGAAATCAAGTCTGTATCACTCGCGCTCATAACACATTTTGTCTGAGAAGCAGACTCATTCTGGAAAACCTTGGTTGCTGCAGTTTCTTTCTCTTCTCAGTTATTGTGACACAATCCTTCCAGCATCACGCCAGTCGCAGCTCTGCAACAGGAGAGTGAATGTCTGCAGGAGAGGACTAATCTTAACTGACTGGAGGCTGGTGAGTCACACAGATACACAGTAGCGATTCTTCAACTTCGCAACTTAATTTTATTATTTTGCTTATCTTACAACCAGTTAATAACTCTGAATGGAATTTAATGCACAAAAGGTGTTAATCTTTGAAGTAACAAAGATAGCATTGTAATTATATGGCTCTAGGATCCTCACCATGAACAACACACTTGCAGTAAACAAATATCTACACACACAAACACACACACAGTGGTCTTCCACAGGATGAATGTTGAGCTAATACTGTTCAGGTGAGGTGGATTTTTTTGATATTCAATGTGCAGAACTGTTAGAGATCTGCAGAGAGGAAGACAAAAGGTGTAATGTTTGCACTGCAGTTAGTAAGCATTTGAAGGGAAAATAAGGACAGCATAAGGGTAGAGTGAAGATTTTAAGCTACATTGTAAATTGTCATCCCAAATTGTTATCCCAAATCTGTTGTATGCTAGTTTCATGCTACCTTAGACATCCACATTTATAATGTGCATATTATAAATTATATATGTCAGTGTCACATCTGGGCTTGTGAGATACTGCTCGAACTCCTCTGCTAATACTGTAATAATGTGGCTGAAAAGGTTATGAAGACACAAATGCCAAAGGCCAGAACCCAAGAGATGCATGTATACAGGGAGTGCAGAATTATTAGGCAAATGAGTATTTTGTCCACATCATCCTCTTCATGCATGTTGTCTTACTCCAAGCTGTATAGGCTCGAAA